TGATGAAACTTCACTGCAAATGTCTGGCAGCTTCATATAGATATTAAATAATACTGGGAAAAGATTAAACCCTGTGGAACTACACACCACAACTGCCATAAGGCTCTACAGAAATCCCCCAGCACCACTTTTTGGGAACAGCCCCACAGGTGGGAATGGAACCACTATGAAACAATGCCTCCAATTCTCAACTCACAGAAGTGCTGTAATATGATTCTATATCAACAGCATCAAAAATGGCTAGATACAAGAATCAACAGGATGTCACTCTTCCGTCTTACTCCTATAGAAGGTTAATTACCAAAGCAACCAAGCTAGTCTCTGTGCTGGTCTGTGATGGATCCAGAAAATCAGTTACATCCATTATTACCACAGTTCTCCAGTTATCACCCTTTTGATACTCTTGCCCCAAAAGGGGAAGTTGGCAGCAAATGCTTCTGGATCCAAAGGGGTCCTCTTCAACAAGGATCAGATCACTGATATCTTTAAATCTGCTGTCATTACTCCTTCCATTAATGTGACATTCATTATTCTCTTAACCCATTCTAACATCCCTAACCAGCTTGCTTCTAAGACCCACGAAGAGCAAAGATTAAGAGGGCAGATAATTAGGGAAATACCTGCAAGAACTTTGTCAGTCTCCTCAAGCCTCATTGGCTGAAAGTGATCCTATAGTAAATAATCAAATGGTGTTTTGACAACCTCTACCAGGCCTGTTTCAGTTTTGGCAATTTTGTCCATAAAGTGCATGACAAACTCATTACTCTGGTTCTCCCAACTGGAACTTGACAAACTATCATATTAATCCCACTTGGAAAGGTTCATCTGGGTGATTCAGTGTGGGCACAGTGTACTCTTTGACTCCATAATGAGCTCTGTGAACACAAATGTTGTCTTTTCCTTCATAATTACCACATGGTAAGTACAATCATATTCACACTGAATCTTGTACCTTTTTTGCTTCAGCCATATCCCCCTCCGTTTCATTGCTGTATGTTCTTCAGTAAACCAAGGAGCCCTGTGAACTCTCACTATTCTATGGCTAAGATTTGGGGGGGGGGGGGGGGGAGAGTCATATTGATCAGAAAAGTCCATAAAGTATTCAGGAATTGCTACAAATTCATAAGTCTTAGGGAGCAGACTAGATAATCACTCCTGCAGATAGAAATGGCAATCTACTTAAATCATAACAGGAAGTGATCCAACCATGACAATAGGGTAACACGCACCTCTTTGACTATCACTCCACTATCCATCCACTCAAAAGCAAAAACTAGATCAATCATTGCACAGTGTATCTAGCTTGTGATGTATTCTTAGTGGCCATGAAGTCCTGAGATGGTCCATTTTCAGGATCAGCAGCATGAGCATTGAGGTCCCGAAGCATCAAAGTCCTAAGATTCTCCAACACTGTACTGGAGATCAGTGCAATCAAGGAGCTGCTGGACTAGCAACACACTATTCTGTCCCCCCCCCCAACCTACCACAAAGTATAGCCCCTGGGGAATCTGATTATTGGAAAGAGAAATGTATTCCCTATAAATGGCTGCAGTTCTACCACACAATCTACCTTGATGCTGTACAACATCTCCAGGCAGGCTTATATGGGTTAAACTCAGGCTGCCCAGCTCTCCCACCCTAGTCTTTATAACACAACCAGACCAGCCTGCTGATCCACGATAAGATCATGGATATAAAATACATTTATTGTGAACCATTCTGGCATTCAACAACTGAATTAGGAGATGGGTGAGCCAACTGGTATGACTACCTGGATCTGGGTAACTCAGACCTAAGAGCAGCCCTAAGGGTGCTATATCTTCTGTGTCTGGGAAGAGTGTTATAACTCCCCCCTTCTTCTTGGCCCACAGGTTGCCCATCCCTTGACTATTGCAAGAAAACATGAGTCTAAGATAACCAGCAGGTGCACCATACTAATGATGGCATCCAAACACATGCTTGTAGATTTGGCTGAATTCCTAATCCTTTAACAGCAGTCTGATGTGCAATAATTAAACATGTATAATAATTAAACAAGTACTGGGATGCAGAAAAAGTGATGAGGAAAATTTCACTTGCTTCATTTCCTCCCACTCTAGGTGGTGAAGATATATTACCCATCAGGTTACATAATCGAGTTAGGCTGCTTTTGCAGTCCTTGGGAGTGTATACTTGAGAAGTTTTAAAAAGCCGAAGCACTTATGTCAGTTGCATTCCATTATGCCAGTATTTAGAAAGGCTTTTGTTTCAAAACACACAGAACAAGAAGACGCGGGCCTCTCTACTGCAACCAAGCACACAAGATGCTGTTTAAACTGTGAAAACCCAATATACTATAAGTATTGCCAGCAGGCTTGCATACAATAAAAGAAACACGGCCCAAGAGCTGGAGAGGCCAACCTAATCCACTCATATTCTAGAAGTCAGTAAGGCTAGAACCATGCTGCCATACAGGTTTGAATTCTTTCA